GCGAGCATGGGGAGGGCCGGCGCCGCGGCCAATGGCACCCCGCAGAACGTCCAGGGCATCACTTCCTACCAGCAGCGGTGAGTAGTCCCGCCTGGGTTGGGATGGAGTGCCCCGCTGCCCCGGGTTGCTGGGGTGGGACTCACTTTGCCTCTTGTTTTGTGCCTGGCCACACACTTGCACACCGCCCAGGCTCACTTTGCCTGCCCCCTCGTTCTACAGACGAGAGAGGAAAAGGACAAAAAACAGCAACTAAAAGCAATTCCCGTCCCAGGATGGCAAGCCCTCCAGTGCTCGGGCGAAGTGAAGCGACCCCTTTGCCCTCTGGCTTGCCCCGCATCCAGACCCTCAGCCCCGCTAGCAGAGTTGTCGCTGGGAAGTGTGAGACGCCGCCGCACAAGGTGCTTTTGCAAAGTTTGGGCTCCAGTCCCCTCCCAGCGGAATTTTCTCTTTGCCTCTGCCGGGTGCGGACCCGCGCTGACGGGCAGCCAGGGGAGCAATTGATCACTGAAGACTGATTGATCATTTGTTTCCAAACAGAATAGGAACGATTTTCACGTGCAAGTGCAGACTTGCAATTCTACATAATAGTGTTATCCTGTCACCTGTTACTACAGGGAAATACAGCATGAAATCCTAGTCTAGGCGCTGTTAAGTATTCATCTTAAACGCATTATAATGCTAATGCGTAAGATTCAGAGTTCCGAGGTAGCAGGGAAATTCTACCAAGTTAGGCTAGGTGGTGAGAAGAAAGTTTAAAGTAGAACTTGTTTGCATTTCACCCAAGCACATTCACAGATTAAAAACAAACAATAAGCACTTTGATTCAACTGGGGTGGGGGGATTTAACCAACAACAAAAGCCTTTGGGCCCTAAAAATTTTCCTTAAATGACACCTTTCCAATTTCCAAGATTTTATCAAAAGATTAATCCACAAAGATCTGCTGAGAAAAGCTAATAATGTAACACGAAAGACAAGTTTCCCATTGATGGGGCTCGGGTTTATAGACTATTGGAAGAAAAGAGAACACAGGAAAGCGTGACATTAAATATTTGTGTTTCCCAGATTGCACACAATTAGATATTTGAAAGATTTGCTATTAGTATTTTGCTTAAAATGTACACAATGCATAATTCAAATAACAGTTCCTATTTTTACCTTGTTATCGCAAACTTCATTGATTTGAGAATCTTTGATTCGAACCAACAGTATTTAAACTGAAAAGGTTAAGATAATCTATCACTGCCATATTTTGTACCTTCTAACCAATGGCCCAGTGACCATAGCAGGTTTTGCATAATACATTAAGTGTTTTCCAAGTTGATGCCCAGTGTTGCAAATTTCCTATTGGAGATGTCATTATCTACTCTGAATACTGGCAGAAGTTTTCACAAGATAGTCTTGCATATAACCCCACAGAAAGCTATTCCACATCAAAGACACTTTTTCATTTAAATTATTTAAGTCTGGTTTTACTTCAGTGATTTCAAGAACCTTTAATACAAAAGATCTACAATCTTTCCAACTTAAGGTCTAGAAAAGAACTATAATTTTCTTTTTCATGGTTCAGGTGTGGGGCGGTTTTTTTTGGGGGGGGATGTCACTTATAAATACTTAAATGGCAATAGAATCTGGTGGATCATTTTAACTAGGAAGTGCAGGCAATAGTCCCAATCCTGTGGAGAGTCAAGGGTCAGAAACATCAGGTGGCCTTTGGACAATCTAGGGCCTCTAGTGAACTTGTTAACCCTTAAAAATAGGTGTGCTGGACGGCCTTGGAATTTTAGCCTTTGGCTTTGCTCTTACAGTGTGGTGGCTACCCTCACCTATGAAGGTGGATTTAAAGATCATTCAAGGGCCAAGTTCCCCATTGGGAACATTCAAGGGTACCACCCACCCTGTATCCCTATCAGTCACTGTGCCCAATGCATTCCATCTTCATCTTTTAATTTGGATTCACTTCATCAAGCCCCTCAAATCTCATCCCTGCAATCATAAAGACTAAGGTTTTAAAAACAACTCTAAACTTTAGCCGTTGGGATGTAATTATTGCCCCCCCCCCCATTTAATGCTTTTAATGCTGCTATATCGACAGGAGAGAAGCAGATAGCTGTGGAAAAGTCCGTCTTTTCCGGTTCCCTTATTTGTGGTCGTGACACCTGTTCCTGCCTTTCATTTGAGTTCACTTGGGGGAGAGGAGAGCGAGTCATGTAGGGCAGGAAGATAATTGGCAGATGTTTAAGGGAAAGTCTGTGTCAGGCATCCCAGCCTCTGGCACTGCATGGGAATGTGGGCTACCCATGTGTCAGGCCTTAGGCGCTCTGAGGGGCAGGCAGTTTCCACCTTGAGACATGGGGGTGTGTGCTAAATAGGAATGGTGTCATATCACTTCACCCAAACACTTTCTGCATGAAGAATGGGGGTGGGGGGTGGGGGAGTCTGATGAGAGAGGGACATGGATGCAGAGTGGGCTGTAGGGAGAACACAAGTGTCTTTCATTTGTCATCTTTGGGCAGAAAACTCTTTTATTTACCCCTAAGCAGGCTCTCCTGGAGCCAAACTTTGGAACTGGCAACCCTCCTTCCTGTCCGTTCTCTCCAGCTCTTCATTCTCACCTACTCTCATCTTCTCCTACCTGTAGAGTGTACTTCAAGGAGAAGGCAAACGCCATCACGCACAACAAACACCTCTACCAGGAAAAACACTTACGGTTTGGAAGTTTCCAGCCCCCAGCCCTACTTTACTGGAATCGCAAGACTGAAGGGGACCTCTTTGCTGATTTTCACTTTGTCTTGAGTTTATCTTGAAAGTCGAAGCCCCACCAAGGGATGAAGTCCCCCCTTGGCCTTTTCGTGTACTTAAAGTGGGAATCTTGTGAGGGTATGTGTGTGTTTGTGTGTGTGATTTACTATTTGCCTGGTTGATACAAAGAGCTGCTCACACGCTGAGAAGGGGGTTAGTGGAGGGGAGCCCACAGATCAGGGTCTACCGGGTAACAGCTCTGGCCCCTCAGAATGGCCTTTCTGTAGGCCTGGCTGTACTGTACAATGGGGACACAGCTAGGCTCGACCCCAGGGGCCCGCAGGGCCCGAATGGGAGCCACGTTTGTCCTTAACTTCGCTTAAACGCTCAGAGGTTCACCTGTGAACCCTGGGGTTTGCAGATCTGTACATGCGTGGATAATGTAGATGGTCCGGCCTGGAGCCAGCTGCTGGGAGTGCCCAAGCCAGGCGTCTACTGCTGCTGCGCCCGCTCCCAGGGGCGTTTGGCCGGCCGGCCTGGACAGGCACACCCCCAGCCTGCACTTATTTCCGCTACCCTCCAAGTCGCCCAGGGTCGAGTCCTGCCGGAGCTGGCTCCTGCGACCTCAGAGTTCTTCTCTCTAGTTGCTTTTCCCCTGGGCAGCGCCGCTCTAGAGAAACGAAGTGTTCGAAACTGCAACTGAGTGGCGTTGTTGCGCTGGCAGGCGAGCTTCCCAGTCTCCCAACGAGGGGTGGGAGTGGGAGGTGGGAGAGGGAAGAACCAGGGAAAGGGAGAGTGGGTGGGAGGGAGGGAGAGAGAAAGGGAGGGAGACGGAGAGAGAGATGGAGAGGCAGCGAGAGAGATTGATATACAGATAGATTAAAAGGGAGAGACAGAGAGAATGAGGGA